GGGGGGGGGGCGGGGTCCAGGAAAAGCCAAGGCCAGGGCCAGGTAGTAAGGCTTACCATGGCCTCCCGATACTCTTTGCTCTTCTCATTGCGTTTGGTGTCATAGATGGAGATGGTCAGGGCGTGCACCTCCTCCTCCTCCTCTCGAAGCTTCAGGATCTCCAGCACCTGAATCAGGAAGTGGGGGAGAGCATGGTTAAGACACCCTCCACCCTCGCCACCTCCCACCTGCCCACACTCCCATGGGACCACCTCCAGCTCCGACTCCCAGGCCTGATGTCTGGACAACTTCTCCTCGTTCTTCAGCTTCATCATGGCCTCGTACTGGTAGAGCAGCTTCTTGGTGTGCTCCGTGGGTTCCACCTGGGACGACAACAAGCACAGTGACACAGTGATGGGGGTCGCAGCAATGGCTAAGATGGTAGGCAGACTCTGGAGCCAGACTGCTTGGGTTCAAATCTTCCTCTGCCATTTTCTAGCTGTGTGACAACGAGCAACTAGCTGAACCTCTCTGGGCCTCAGTTTCTTCATCTATAAAAACACAGATAATAAAAGACGATGAACTGGGGGCTCAGAGGGACTAAGGACCGTGGCAGGAGGGGGAGGGTTTAAATGAGGAAAGCCAGCCCCACAGAGGTGGTAGGACTAGGACCCTCTCCTACTCCAGTGTTGGTCCCGGGATCTGGGGACGGCTCTGTCCAGGACTGGGGGGGAAGGGACATAAGGAGTAGTCTTGGCCTGCTGGGTGGTCTTTCTTGGTAGGAAAGGGGAAGATTTTCAGAGGAGCTGCAGAGACGAGGGGCCCCAGATGGGAGCTCATGATTTTCCCAAGGAGCGAAGATGAACTTCCGGGCTGGGAAGCATGCATTTCCATCCCAGTGTTCCCAAGTGGCGGGGTGGCACAGAGGGCCCCGGGACCTTCTCCTCACCCACCCCAGCCCGCCCTGCCAGGCACAGCCCCCAGACCCACCTCAAAGCTGATACACATGTCCGGCGTCATGATGATCTTGTTGCCCTTGCTGTCCACCTCCGCGCGCCGCAGGAACTCGCGCTTGGAGGCCGTGATGCGGTCGTCCCAGCAGTGGTAGCGCACCTGGATGCGCTCCTCCGGGGTTAGAAACACGCGCTCGGCCACGTCCTCATCCGCGGGCTTCTCGGGGTTGCGCGAGAACCGCTCTGTGATTTTCTGGGAGGCCAGAACATCACAGGATGGGAGGTGGGAAAGGGGATTTCTGTGCGCGCCCCTGAGGGTGGAAGTAAAGGACACTCAGGGACACTGGGCTCCGGGGTCTTTGGGGGAGTTTATGTGGAGCAGCCCTTCCTAGCCAGACAACAGCCTCCCATGGCCCAGCCACCTCAGCCCTGTGTGGGGCTGCATTTCTTCTCTAGCTCTCTCCACAGGAGTCTATTTGCTCACCTCCAGAGATGGGGAGCTCACCACCTCTCCAGGCACGCTGCTTTATCACTAAACATCCCTTACTGCTAGGAAGAGCTCCTTTGGTATACAGGAGCCATTAAACACAGTTGCCAAACCATCCATTTGTAATGATGTAGACAAAAAAGTGCACAATTTAATGTTAAGGGAGTGATACAGGGATTCTACCTTCACACACACACACACACACACTTCAAATAAGTTAAAGACTCCCCGAACCAAACCTATTAAGACATGATAATATCTGAGAGACACCCTTCTGAGTGTGACTTATTATAATAGTAAGGAAATAACACACTCCTGGCCCAGTGGCAGAGGGCGCAGTCTGGCATCAGGCAGCCTCAGGACTGTAAAACAGGACAGCGCCCTTGGGAAAGATGCGGCTCCAGAGTTGGAGCTGTCCCCATCCCAGGGTGACCTTAGCCTGCCGGAGAGAGAGCTCACCACCATTGGCCGGGGGTTTGACTCCGCGCTGTTCAGAGCCAACTTCTTGACCCTGTCCCCGAAATCCACGTGGCGGTAGGAGAGGAAGTCAGTCCGTCCCTGGTAGTACTCTGTCATTGTCTTGGGCGTCTCCTCCCGCTTTATCAGGCCGTCCACACGGGCCGTTTCGTAAAACTCCATGACGCGGTCCATCTCAGGTTGCATGGACTTGTATGAGTGCACTGTGGTGGGAGGCGGGGTCCCGAAAGTCAGCGCAGTGAGACCAGGCACACTGGCCACTGGCTGGAGAACCCGACCCCAGGCCCCAGGAGCAAGGCATTGTCCATGAATGCTCATGGATGAGCAGGAGTTATGTAACCAATGCCCCACTGCTGGGTGTTTATAATAACAAAAAGGTTAGAAACAACCTAAACAACACCATGGTGAACATCTGCAGCATGCATTTTTAAATTCTTGCCCATTATTTGCTCGGGACAAATTCTCAGCAGTAGCACTGCTGGTCAAAAAGCGTATTTTTTTTTTTTTTAAAGATTTTATTTGAGAGAGAGAGGGAGAGCATGAGTGGGGTGAGGGGCAGAGGGAGAAGCAGACTCTCTGCTGAGCAGGGAACCCAATGTGGGGCTTAATCCCAGGACTCCGGGATCATAACCTGAGCCACCCGGGCTCCCCAAAGTGTACATATTTTAAAGCTATTATTATTTTGCCCAACTGCTTTCCGGAAAAGTTGCGCCAATTTGCTGTCCCATCAGTAGGGACAGGGAGCAGCTCTCTGCTGCTTTGCTCATGCCTTGTGGGACCATTTTTGTCATCTTTGCAACATGAGGCTTGTGAAACGGTCCCTTATTGATTTCCTTCCTTCCTTCCTTATATTTCAACCACCAAGTGAGATTGATCATTTTTTAAGATATATATTGACACTATGTTTTTCTTTTGTGCATCCTTGGTTAAGGCTGTTGATTCTCTCTCAAGACATGTCCTTCCCTCACTTCCCCACCTCTTGGGCTCATGGCCACACCTCTGCCCTCTGCATCGACCTTGTGGGGACATTTGTTGGTTTTGTTACTCAGCATTCTGACCCCTTCAAATGTGGCCCCTACTGTGTGCCCAGCCCTAACCACAGAATGGGCATGTGGCCCTGGTTTTTGACTTTCCTGGAGGGACATTTGTCACATTTCCCTGGATTTTCTGCGCTTCCCCTCACCTCCCACACATCTGATTTGCTTAGGCAGGAGGGGCTTTCTGTTTCTGTTGCTTGCCACATCCTGGGCTCCCCGCTGGACTGGCAGTGGGGCCCACTCACCACGCAGAGCCTGGGGATGACCTGGCTTGAAGTAGTCGATATTCAGGCCTGTGCTCTTGTTGATGTGTTTCAGCTCTAGCATGTCCTCCCGGTTCTGGTACCACTCCTTTATCTCCAAAGTCTTGGTACCTGTGGGGCCCGATCGGTGCTTGCTGCAGCCAGGCCGGCTCCCCCAGCCTCCGTCCCCCCCCTTCCCAGCACAGAGGCCAGCGGGGCCCACACTCACACCAAGAGACTGGCAGTGACGTGCCCAAGGTCACACAGCGCGCTGGGGAACCCAGCTCTCCTGCCCCCGCAGCCAGGGCTGCCCGCCTTACACTCCAAGTCCTCGTAGGTGGTGAGGCGGCACACGAGGCCGTTGCTGTTGAGATACGGCGCCCACTTCTCCAGCTTCGCCCTCTTGTACTGGATCACCTTCTTCCCATTTGGGCAGCGGGTCTCGAACACTGCAGACACAGAGTGGGCTGGGGTCCCTCCTCCCCAGATGAGGGGACCGGAGGACCGACTGCCCAGCTGCTCCTCCGGTCACTGCGCTAAACTCCTCCGGGCCCCAGGCCCGCTCCAGGGCGGCAGAGGGAGGTGGTCAGCAGGGCAGCTCCTGCCCTGGGGCAGTTCTCAGGTTTGAGCCTGAGCACGGGAGCAGTGCCCGACCATGCCACTCACTCACTGCCCGGCTTCTGCCTGGGTAGCTCTCTCTGCCGGAAACACCATCCCCTCCTGCCCTTATTGGGCTGACTTCTGATCCCTCAGAACTTAGCTCCGGCTCCTCCTCCTCCTCCTGGAAGCCCTTCCTGCCCACCTACTCCCAGCCTCCGAAACCAGGGGGCTGGGCCGGGTGCTCCTCCCCTGGTTCCCATGATGCCCTCTCTAGCCCTTCCCACTCTGTTGGAATAGCCTGTGCCCTCCCTGTGGGCCAAGGCACTCCCAGACAGGAGCCTCAATGGCCACTATATGCTGGCATGGAACTCCAGTGTCCCTGCCCTGCTGCTTTCTCGGCCCGCTCCTCCCTGGTCCTGACACCTCCACACCCCTGTGCCATCTGGGTACTATGCTGCTTGGCCATCTCCTTGGGGGGGGGTGAGGGGAATGACCGTGTCCTGGTCCTCCCTCCTTTATTACCCACACTCCATCACCCAGCTCAGGTTAACCGAGCCCCCTCCTGCACGCCAGACCCGTATCAGGCCCTCAGCCACAGGGCTGAGTGCCTGAGGCAGGAAGGAGGTGGAACAGAGTCCCTGCTCAGACCAGGGTGCACCCGGGTGCAACAGAAGGCAGGAGGGGTGGAAATGAGGGGCTGGGGCAGCCTCTGCTGACTCCCCCTGAACTGATCCTGGGGAGGCGGGGGAATACAAATGCGCAAATACCTTCCGGGGAGATCTCAATCTTCTCCACCCATGAGGACGGCATGTCGAAACTCTTATCCTCATCCTCCTTGCCCTGTTGGGAGAGGTGGGGAGGGGGCAGGCTCTTGTCAGGGCTGGGCCTTGGAGTGGAAGCTAGAGGCAGAGCCTCTGTCTTGCCCCCCAGGGCCAAGCCACAGTGGCTGTCAGCTCCCCCAGGGGAGCCAGAGGTCCCGGGTGGTTCTGACCTGGTAGAGAGGAAGAGGAGGTGGTTCAGGAGCCCTCCCTCGACTCACCTGGCTAGGACAGCAATCCCCTGCCCTGTGTGCCCAATCTTCGGTCAGTCAGCATGGGCACCAGGCACAGCCACAGGTCCTTCCTTAAGAAGGAGGCTTCTGGAGTCAGGTGCCCCCAAGCCCCACCCTCCAGGACCCAGCCCATACCAGCTAGGGGTTCTGGGCAAATAAGTCCCTTAACTGCCCTGAGCCTGTTTCCTACCTGTTAACCAGACCCAGGGGAGGATTAACGGATAGAATGTATATAAGCCACTTGAGACACTGCCTTGCTACTGTTTTTTTGTTTTTGTTTTCCTTTTCGAGCCTTAGTTTGCCTGTCTGTAAAATAAGGCCCTCTTTACACAAATGGTCCTCAAGCTGGGTAAACCACAGAAACCTCAAAGAGTTTTTCCCAATTTAAAACTCTTCCACAAACATTGCTCACAACTGGAGGCCAGCAGGGGGCGCCTGTGCCTGGAGATTTACTGCCAGGGAGGGAGGCTCTCCGGTTTCCAGAAATGAGGATGCTGTATCAAGCTCCTCACAGCAAGGTCTCATTTTATCCCCGAGCTGTCCGGAGGATAGAGAACAGAGTCACTGTTCAGAACCCACCCTTGGGAGCCAGTCAGATCTCCGGTTCAAGCCCTAGCTCTGCCACTCACTGGCCATTGACCTTTGGGTAAGTTACTTCCCCCCTCTGTAAGTCTTCCCATCTGTAAAACGGGATGATGATAATCATAAACAATAACACTAACACCCCCCTCATCAGGTGGTTGTAAAGATTTGGACAAGCTAATTCAGGCTAAGCTCCTGCTAATTCAGGTTAAGTGCCTACTGGGCTGAATTTTGTCCACCCAATCATGTCCTGAGCCGCAGGACCGCAGAAGGTAACTATATTTGGAGATAGGATCTTTCAAGAGGTAGTTAAGTTAAAATGAGGTCATTAGGGTAGGCCATAATCCAATGTGACTGGTGTCCTTGCTTAAAGAGGAGATGAAGACAGACATACAGAAAGATCACGTAAAGAAACAGAGACAGCCATCTACAAGCTAAGGAGAGGTGCCTCAGAAGAAGCCAGCAGGCTGATACCTTGATCTTGGACCTCCAGCCTCCAGAACTATGAGAAAATTAATTTCTGTTGTTTAAGCCCCTCAGTGTGTGGTACTTGGTTAAGGCAAACTCTAGCCACCTGATAGCCCTAGTCCTGTTACTGTGGATATAATTGATCCCATTCGCCCCCCCACCCATTTTACATACAGATGATGTATGATGAAGCTCTCCATGATTGGGAAGTTTGCCCAAGATGTCACAGCCAAGAGCTAAGGCCTCTGGGCCCCTGACCCCCAGGCACAGGTCCTCGAGGGGACCTCCGGTAAGGGCTCCTGACTAGGAGATGGGAGAAGGATGCTGATGCCATGGGGAAGGCCCCAGACCAATGAAGGGCTGAGAGGAGAGACAAGAAAAGCCTGGAAGCATGTGAGGGGGATCATGGTGGCTATGCAGGAAGGCCTGGAAGTGAGCCCAGGGCTTGTGGTCAAGGTCTTATCACCCCTATTGCTGGGGACATGCCCTTTACAGAAACAGGGCAACCATCAACCAGGGTGGACTCTATGTGGGCCAGGAGACCCAGATGCAAGTCCCAGCCCTTCCCTACCCCACTGGGGGGTCCTGGGCAGGTCAGTGGACCTGTCTGGGTCTTAGTTTGCCCATCTATATAAAATGAGAGCATGGTCCAGGCCCCTCTGCTTTGGGGAATCTATAATCAGTCTCTCTGGCCCATCCCCGCATCCCCCAATACACATACACAGGGTGGGGAATTGGTCAGGTTGGCCTGAAACGAGACAGGGTATGAAGCCCCATCCCACCGCCCGGCCCCAAGCCGCTGAGACCCACCAGATTCTCCACATCTTCATCATCATTCATCCTGTCCTCCTCGTCCTCAGCCACAGACAGGTGGGCCTTATCAGTCCCCAGGAGCAGGTACTCCCACCTCACAGGGTCTCCCAGGTCAAAGACCAAGTCCTGATGGGGGAAGGACCAGCTGAGTGTGTCCCACAGCCAGCACACCCCCTCCTGTTCCACAGGGAACAGCTGCACCCAGAGTAGAGGAGGGACCCGGGCTTGGGTCTCAGAGGAGCAGAATGTCGGCTCCCGGCAGCCTCCGAGAGCGCACACCCACCTCCTCATTTCAACAGGGAAACTGAGGCCCACCCCATCATCCAGACTCCCCGTGAAGAAATCCCGCTGTTGGTCTCCGTGAGACTTGACAACTCCCTGGCCTGGGATAGGCCTGGGTGTGGAGGTTATCCTGCACGGTCAGGGGAGCGTCCCAAGCAGTGTTCAGAGCAGATGGAAGCCAGCAGGATTTTACGGGACAGGGAAATGGAGGGTTTGAAAAAGGGCCGCCTCACGGTTTTTACCCGTGCCGGGGAGGAGGGAACTAGGCAGGCACACGAGGAATTGCACGGAGGCAGCAGGTGGGAATTTCTCTTTGGTGGGGTGGGGCTCCCACCTGCTTTTCATCCAGCCTACCTGAACTCAGGTGTACGGCTCAATGAATTTCCGTAAATTGGACACACCCTGCTTGCCTGCACCCAGATCAAGAAATAACACATCGCCCACATTCCAGAAAGCCCTCTTGTGTCCAGTTATGACCCTCCCCCAAACATGTGCATGTATTTCTAATTTATGTTAAGTGGCACTGAGTTTTATATATATGTATACACACAGACACACGCATATACGTATGTGTATATGCATATATATATTTATGGGAATTCATTGAAATGTACACTTAGGATGAATGCACTTTTCTGCATGTATGTTGCACTTCAATACATTGTTTTTTAAAAAAATCATTCATACTTGGGCTCCTGGGTGGCTCAGTTGGTTAGGCGACTGCCTTCGGCTCAGGTCATGATCCTGGAGTCCCGGGATCGAGTCCCGCATCGGGCTCCCTGCTCGGCGGGGAGCCTGCTTCTCCCTCTGACCCTCCCCCCTCTCATGTGCTCTCTCTCATTCTCTCTCTCTCAAATAAATAAATAAAATCTTTTAAAAAAAAAATCATTCATACAAACTAACAATCCACATTTTATAAGGCTACACACATCAAAAGAGAGACACTAATATTAGAATTGTTATGTATGGACAAAGGAGTGGGCTAGCGGGCTCAGCTATGGGGAAATTCTGGAACTCTGTGGCAGCCAGCTCGCCCCCCAGGGGACCCCCCACCCCCACCCCCACCCCCATCCCAGGACTGCCTGTCTCACCCGCCCCGCCCCGGGCCCAGTACCTTGCAGCCGTTCCAGCAGTCCTGCATGTTGACCCAGTAGTTCTTATGGTTCCAGAGGCTCTCAATGCCCAGGAAGTGGTCATCCCGGGTGCTGTAGCTGCGCCCCGTGAATGGGTCGATGAAAAAGCTCTCGGGCACCTCACGCTTCCCCGACAGCACCAGGACCCAGGCGTGTACCCGTAGGCCATGCAGGGGGTCGATCCTTGCTTTCTCCACCTCCTGCACAGGAAAGGTGGGTGACCATGGGCCGATGGGTGGGAAGGGGGTGCCAAACATCTCCCCAGGGCTGGGGAACCAGCAGGAGAGCTGAGTTCTGGTCCAGGGTGCAGGTTTGGCTGGCTGCATGACCTTGAGGACATCACCCCACTTCTGAGCCTGTCTTCTTATTGATACAGTGGGAGAGTCTGAGTTTATCTGTAGTTTACAAACTGGGCCTTTTGGAGCCCTAGAGTATCTGGGATTTACTGGCTTTCTGCGTTGCCATTCTGGATGAGATTTCATCCAAAGGAAGGTAGGGGGCACTGTGTGGCTTCCTTGTCTGCTTCCCTCTGGAAGAAGGGTGACTGTGTCATGTTCATTATTACAACCACAGAGCCTGGACGAGAGGAGATGCTCAGCAAATACTACATGGAAGGAAAGGAAAGGGAGGGAGGGAGGAAAAGAGTGGGAGAGGGGGAGAGATGAGAGTATGGATGGATGAAATGAGAGCCGGGAGAATGGATGGGAGGATGCAGAACAAGGATGGATGGATGGGAGGATGCAGAGCAGGGAGGATAGATGGGAGGATGGATAGGAGGATGCAGAGCTGGGAGGATGAATGGGAGGATGCAGAGCTGGGAGGATGGATGGGGAGTGTTTGCAGGTAGGTCTTTAGGGAAAGAGTCTGGAACCAGGAGAATATCAGAGCCCAGCATAGAACGAATGGGCGGCCTCACGCAACAGAGCTCTCTGATATTAGAAATCCATCGCAGAAGCTGGCTGACCACCAATGAGAGATCCCCACATTGCTGGGCAGAGATGGGGATGGCAGGGTATGGAGGAGGGGATTTGACCTGGGGTCCACGAACACATCCCCTCCCCACCCTGTGTCCGTTCTCAGTCGCTAGCCGCCTCTCCTGGAGAGTTGAGCACGGGGGCTGAGGATGTGGACCCACCAGGAGGCGCTGTTCCTCCTCCTTCCGCCGCTTCTCCTCCTCCACTTTGATCTCCTGCTGCTTCTTCATCTCCTGCTCCTGCTCAAACCTGCTGCTCAGGTCTCTGGGCGGTTTAATGGCGTACTTCTTAGGTGGTACCTTTTCTTCCTCCTGGACCACCTGTCACCCAACGAGAGAAAAAGGATCAGCTGCCCTGCATCGCCCGCCCCTCGGACCAGGAGGTCACAGCTGCTCTGGAGCAACGCCCCCGCCCACAGGCTTTCAGGCCCTAAATGCAGGAGTCTCAGCTCCCATGTCCCTAACTTCAGGCCCTTCTGTAGAATGGGATGGGACCAGTAAGAACCTTCTCCCCAGGCTTGTTCTGAGAAGCAAAGACAGGAACACGCCCATGTGAGGTGCCAGGCACAGCAGAGATTGGGAGATGTGATTTGCTCCCCTTCGTTGCCCATGGCCCTTACAGACTACGATCTGGATCCGACCTAGAGAGTGGGCGAATTGTCAGGAGTTGGATTTCCCAGATTCTGTCATTGGAGGGTTTCACATGCTGACTTAAGAGTTTGCTGGGCTAGGAAGGAGAAGAAAGCCTGTGTGCATGTGTGCGTGCGTGCATATGCGTATGAACGTGTGCTGGGTGGCACGAAAAGTGCTCAGGGCAGAACATCGCAGAGGCTGCAGATGTCACGGGGGCCTGTGACAGTGAGGAGGGGAAAATGGTGAATCTCTGCAGCTTAGAGTCAGCCGGGGGGGCCTCAGCCCCTGGGTCTCCATCGACCAGCCAGGCAGCTTCGGCCACGTTGTCCCATCTCTCTGTCAATCTCTACATACTCGTCTGCAAAATAGGAGTGATAATGCCCACCACACAGCGCTACTGGAAGGAGCAACCAAGTCAATGGACACAAAAGTGGTTTATAGACCCGAAAGTTCTCGGCATCTAGTGGCTATTATATCATTTGAGTTATTAAAATTTTGGCTGATGTAAGAGGCCCATGTGTGAGCTTACAGGACTGTGCAGCCAAACGCAATGAGGTTTTGTTCCATCTTCCTGGGGCAGGCGGACCTGAGGGAGCAAGACTCGCACCTGGTGCCTCCCTCAACCGGAGCACCTGCGCCAGGGCCCCCGTGGTGCTCACCCACGTGTGACACAGGTGCACTTGCAACCTGCTGGATGCCGCAGGCCCCTGGGTCCTCTGCCCTGAGATGCAGACACCCCCGGGGGCTTGACTCTGATCACAGAGTCCTGGAGTCAGTCCAGTCCACAAACAGCATTTTTGTCTGTACTGTGGCTATTTCTCAAATGCAAAAAGTTGCTTTTTGATTCCTAAAATTAAATTAATTTAAGAGTGTTTCTTGGAGCACCTGGATGGCTCAGATGGTTAAGCGTCTGCCTTCGTTCGGCTCAGGTCATGATCTCCAGGTCCTGGGATCAAGCCCCCTTCAGGAGGGAGTCTGCTTCTCCTTCTCCCTCTGCCTCTCCCCCTGCTTATGCATGCTCTCTCTCTCTCAAATGAATAAATAAAATCTTAAAAAAAAAAAAAAAGTCTTTCCTGTGTCCACAGCAGCCTCTGGCCATTTGGGGGCTGTCGGTCAGCAGAGAGAAAAACACGACCCGCACCTGCTGGAGGGTTGGTGATAATTTTTTGCTGTTAAAAAGGGGCCTTTTGAGGGGGTGCCTGGGTAGGTTAAGCATCCAACTCTTGTTTTTGGCTCAGGTCATGATCTCAGGGTCTTGAGATTGAGCCTCGCATCAGACTCCGTGCTCAGTGGGGAGTCCGCTTGGGATTCTCTCTCTCCCTCTGCCCCTCTCCCCACCCCCACTCTCTCTCAGATAAATAAATAAATCTTTTTAAAAGTGAGGGGGGCTTTTAAATTGAGGGGGTGGAGGGAAAAAAGAGCAAACAAAAATGTCTGTCCGTCTGTCTGGTTTTTCCTTACATGAAAGCGGCTGCGTGGATTTTTATCCCACGAGTCGGGTAAATCTGACAGAAGTAAGACAAGCCATGCAGCACTCACAGCATTCACCCCGTGGGGAACAGTAGCTGAAAGTGAGGTACGACAAGGGAAGGGGGGACCGCGGTTTGGAGAGCTCGCCTGTGTGTGCCTAGGTGCCGGGGACAGACTCACCAGGGCAGCCTGCAGCTGCTCGGTGCGTGGCCGGGCAGGGCCAGGAGCCAAGGGGACGCATTGCGTTAATGGGACAGGAGTTGGGACAACGGACCTGAGGGAGCAAGACTCCCACCTGGTGCCTCCCTCCAGCAGAGCACCTGTGCCCTCCCAGGGCAGCATGAGCCCTGCGTACCTCCTTGTGCTTCATGGTGAGCGGGCACACGTCCCGCGTCAGGTCCATTTGGCACAGGTCCTGCGACCCGTAGCCGTTGACGCAGTAGGCATCGTAGCCGGCGCCGAGGAGCAGGGAGCAGAGCAGCGTGCTGAAGTCGAAGCAGTTCCCCTTCTGGTGCGTGAGCACCGCGGTCGGGGAGTACAGGTACGAGGGCTGGCCGCAGACGGCTGGTCAGTTCGGCCAGCCCCGTGGCCCCCACCCGCCCTCCCCACCGGCCAGCAGCTGGGCATTAGGGCCAGTGCGCAGGCTGGACCCCCCATCCCTCCCCGGGCTCCCCTGCTTTGTCAGGTTGGGGAGCCTGCTAAGAATGGGAGGGGAGCCACGGCCCGTGTGTAGAAAATACATTCCACATTTGCCTGTAATTTTAAGTGGCCGTGGACCTCCTGATGGGAAAGACCCTCTGGATGATGGAAGCTTCTCGTCTAATGCTCTCTGATTGGTCATTTAATGGTTTTTATTCCAAAGTCCTCCTCACCTTCTCTTCTGATCCTTTCCTTCTCTTCCCTTTTCTCAGTTCTCCACTGTGTACCTATCCCTTTCTCCCTTGCTCCCTCCATTCTCAGTTGGGAAACAGACTGAGCTGGACAGAAGCCCAAAGATGGGGCCGGGGGTCACGGGCAGCAGGGCCCTCCCCCTCTCTCCTTTCCCTATCTCCTGAAATCTTGAAAGGAAGACTCTGAAGGCAGAAGGAAGCAAAGGAGGCAAAGAGGTAGGAGCCAGGAGACCAGGCTTGCTGTGTGACCTCAGGCAAGTGGCCATCCCTCTCTGGGCCCATTTCCCCACTCCCCACCCCGGTGGGAGGGTGAGCTCTGAGGGACTCAGACCAGATAGACTATGGGCTTTGGCCTGAGCCTCACTGAGCCCCCTTCTCCCTACCTCCCTGGCTTCTCATCCTAAGCCTCAAGGGCCTAAGGATGCAGCCTGGGGTGGCACTTACTGGCTGAAGGGGGTCAGGCAGGGGCACCATGGAGAGGAAGTCTGAGACAAACTGGGCACAGCTGTCCCAGTTGTAGAGCTCGGGGTAGGGCATCAGCGTGGGCCGGATGGTTGTGCTCACGAACTTCTGCAAGGGGAGAGATCACAGGCCCCAGAGAGGGCATTCTACCTGGGGGAGGCCGGCGCTCCCTGGAAGCCAGAGCCCTGGGTGGGGAGGGAGTGGAGAAGGCTCTCTAGGCCTCTCTGGGCCTCAGGCTCCACTCAGTGCCTCAGGAGTTGGAGAAAGGGTTCCCCCAACACCCCTCCAGCTTATTCATATTCTTATTCATATAGAATGAGCTTGCACCCCACTGGGCGCTGCCGGACCAGGCACCACCTCCTCACACCCCAACGGCCCTGGATGTCAGGCCCACTGGCAGGTGGGGAAACTGAGGCTCTGGGAGGTGAGCTGACTTGCTCAGGTTCACAGGCAATAGCAGTGCTGGTCTGTCTGGCTCTTGACCGCCACCCAGGGTGGGAGAACTAGTGCTACCAGGGCCCTCGAGGGGCTTCTGTCCCCCCGGGCCCCGTGGTCTGGGGTCCCAAACGGCACCTCCAGGGTCTCCCTGTAGATGTGAGGAAGGCCTGCCAGCACAGGATCTGCCATGGCCCCACCCGGGCAGGCTGGCTGATGGCAGCAGCGGAAACGCTTGCGGCATTACCGGCTCAAGAGAAGGGGGGAGCAGGGACCTGTATGGTCGCTGAATTTCACATGCTGGCAGCTCATACAAATGTTCAACATCACCATGTGGACCAAGTAAAACAGCCTGTGAGTCCCCGTCAGCCTATGGGCGGCTGTTTTGCAAATCTTGCTTTTATCCTCTGCCATTCCATCTACTGATGGAGAAACTGAGGCCCGGAGAGACTCAGGACGTGCCTGGGTCCCAGGGCTGGAAGGAAGGAGGCCAGGGCTCAGGTCCCGGTCCATTTCATCTTATTTCTCTGCCCTTCCCGGGACAGAGCTGGTGTCGGGGGTTGGAAACTGCGCCAGGGGTCCAGCCGCCCCTTAGTTGGGCGTGGGGTCTCCAGGCCACCACCAGCCCCCCCGGGGTGATTCACATCGAGCCTGCTGGGGCCCACTGGCATTTGAGTTTATGCTGTCCCCAGATACAAGCTCTGACCCGCGAGCTTTGGCCCACCTCCCTCCGCCCTCCGCCCTCCGGCCCCTGCCCGCCCCTCCACAACCCTGCCTTACGGGCACTTCGCACTCGTTCAGCGGGTGCAGGAAGAGGGGCACGCGGTCCGGGCACAGGTGGTTGTACTGACGGGCGAAATTGTCTGCCACCTGCAGCAAATGTTCCTCCTTGAGCGTGTTGCTTTGGTAGGAGAGGGGGAGCTTGGAGATGTCGAAAGTGTCCTTGGTAATGATCCTGTGCCCACAAGAGGGGAGGCATTAGCCCGGGTGAGGCTAGGCCTGGCCCACGGGGAGCCAACCATCCACCCACCGTAGCTGGCTGTATCCCTTCCTCCTGTACTCCTCACAACTGCCCAGGAGGGATATCACTATTATCATGTGCCCTTTTAAATAGAGAAGGGAACAGAGGCCCAGAGAGGCTGAGTGACTTGCCAGGGGTCACACAGCTCCTGAGGGGCAGAGAGGGGACTCGGCCCAGGCGGACAGAGAGCAGAGCCCTCACTCGAATCTGCTTCCCTCTACATCCGGTCCTGCCTCCCAACCCTGGCGCCGCTATTCTGTCTGGCTCTTCTTTTGCCCGGCCCTGGTCTGACCCTCGCCAGGGCTGCCCGGCCCGGAGCCCCCCACCCCCACCCCCGACACGCACGAGGGCTGCTCTGGGATGACGATCTCAATCTCTGACAGCTTCTTCTCCAGGTCTCTGAGCATCTCCTGCGTCATGGGCGGTTCCTCCCTCCGCATCTCCACGGGCCTCATCATCTTCTCGCCCCTCTCGGCTGCCTCTTCCCGCTCGGCCTCCTCCTCCTCCTCCACTTTCTCCTTCAGGACCTCCATCCCGGCACGTCCCTGGCTGTCTCGAGACAGAGTCCCCGTGGGAAGGATAAATGCACTCAGAATGGGCCCCTTCTGCCACCAAGACCACCTGTGTGTCTGGGAGGTGGTTTAGAGGGGGGAAGCGAGCCCCTCTGAAACTCTCCTTCCATCAGGCAGAAAGTCTTGCTTGGTTGCCAGCATGTCTGTAACACCTTTCTGACATTTGCAGATCTCCCGCTAAGACAAAGACAGAGCAGGTGGCCGGTTGAAAGCTATGGTCAGGGCTGGAGCAGGTGGCCCAAACTTACCAACACTGCTTTATTTATTTTATTCATTCAACAGTATTTTCTCTTTATGGCAAGTGACGCTAATGTGGTAGGGATTAGAGAAAAAAGGAAGGAAAGAGAGGTAACATCACCAAATTTGGAGCTGAGACATGGAGAAGGCAAGGGCAGGCTGTCAACAGGCACCTGGACAAGGGGCAGGTGTGTCGGGGGGTGACGTAGCCTGTCAGGCCAAGCCCTGTGTTGGCCCACAGGGTGGAGGTCACAGAGAATGGCTTGGTGTGGGGAGAAACCCACACACATTTGGTGACCAGAAGTGTCAGGGCTGAAGTAAAGGAGATAAGACACTGAATTGGGTTCTTCCATTACAGACTCTAAGAGGCAGTCACTGCTTCGGTACCCACTTTGCAGATGAGAAAACTGAGAGCTAGAGAGGTTAAGTGCAGTGCCTAAGGTCTCAGAGCTAGTAAGTAGCAGGTCTGGGGTTTGAGCCCATATATTTATGGCTCTGGAAACCACACACTTCAGGGCCTACTGACGTAGGGAAGCCCTACAAGGGGTGGCGGGAAGGGGAGAGGTAAGTAAAGAAGGATGTGGGGAGAAGGCCAAGGTGTCTCTGGGCAGCAGGGGGTTACAGCTGTGACAGGCACTGAGACGGGCCCCGAGCCCAAGGTCACAGAACACCTTTATCAGAGGTGGAGCTGGGCCAGAACCTGCCACACGTATTCCCCACACCCGGCTGCCCTGTCCGCTCCAGCCCAGTTTGGGGAGGGCAGACCCTGCCCAGAGACCCTCCCCACCCCACAGGCCCTTTTCTGCACCCCTCCTTAGCAGCAATCCCTCCCACACACACATACACACCCCTTCCTCAGAAAGATCAGGGCTGGAAGCCCCCAGTCAGAAAAAAAACCCCTTCCCACCTCCACCCTACTTCTTACCCTGCCACCAGCTACGTCAGGTCCTCTGCTCCCTCCTCACCCCTCTGAGGACAGCCAGCGCCATCTGTTAGCCCATCTCCACGGCAACAGCTTTCGAAGCAGAGGGCGGGTTCTGGGAGAGGAGGCTTCTGGGAAATGTAGTCTTCTGTCACTGTCCAGGTCTGGGCCCAGCAGACCATCTGTGGTAGGTCCCTCAGCAAGTGACTGGCTGGAGGCAGTTTGTGCCCGCTTGCAAGAGCTGATTGTTAAAATTTCAGAAATGTCTGCGAGCCAGTTGACAAACTGCCATGATCACTCATTAAATTATAAAAAACATAAATAAATAGATGATGTTAAAAGCAAAGTTAATTAAAACTCATCACTTTTTAATTATTTTTAATTATTTGACTATTTCTTGAAGTTTCTTCTGACTACTGTATCTGTATAGTGGAAATGTTATATAATGGCGAGCTACTCTGAATTTCTTCCCAGCTTCTCTTCAGTGATGTCATGTCGATAACTTAAAATTAGCAAATATTGGGATGCCTGGGTGGCTCAGTTCGTTGGGGGTCCGACTCTTGATCTCAGGGTTGTGAGTTCAGGCCCCACGTTGGGCTCCACGCTAGGCATAGAGCCTACTTAAAAAATAAAATAAAATAAAATAGGCAAATGTTATAGACCAGGGATTTTCCCCCCACTGAGCCCGTTGTTAAGCACTTACCAGGACATGCCTCGGCCTCTGCCCCATGCATTGTCCATGTGGCCTTTATCAAGACGGTTGGAAACCAGTGTGGGTCCTAGCGTGTCTGCTTATCATGGTGGAGCCTTGTGTTCTCCTCCAGGCTGGGCCTCTGATTTCGTTTATAACTCACAAGACAGGGAAAACTTACCCAGAAGGTTAGTGGCCCATGGAAATTAATTTTAATCTTTCAAATTCAGAAGAAAAAATGAATAAACTAATGGTAAGTATATAATTATGAGTCCACCCTGGGTTATATTCATCATTGTACCAATGCAGCCAAAAAAAATATATTTTTACTTTTTTGTTACTGGGGGAAGGGGCCTGTGAATGTCGTAAAGCAGCCCTGGGGGGCGTGGTGGGAGGGGGAGTCTGGAGAAACACTATCCTGACAAGGTTGGACAGTTGCTAGTGCTACTTGGGGGAGACATAGCAATCACCTCAATTCTCAAGAGTAAATAATGATTTTAAATTCTGGCCAGAATATTACTCAGTCATGAAAAATACAGTGTGAAGGCTAAATTAAACTAAGGGAAAGGTCACGGGGCAGTGTGTCCTACGATTACTTCTGAGGATTTCCCTTGGGGTGAGGGTGAACAAGGAGGAGGGAAAGGTAAACAGGTGGTGTGTCAGGCTGATCTCATTTCTTCTGTATCTTTATTTATTCCCTTTTATCCCTATACCCAATCCCATTCTCTGACCTTCATAGGCACCCATTCTGATCCATTTTTTTCCCCAAAATGAGCACTATTTTGCATGCTGCTGTTTTTTAACTCGTGTATATGATATTGTGTTGATACCGCCTCTGTTTCTTTTATTTTCACTAAGAACTGTGTTTTTAGATCCATCCATGTTGCTGTGTGTCCACAGTAGGGATCCACTCTATTCTCCCAGTGATGGACCCCACCCCCAACCCCCTTTGCCACCAACGCCTTCTTTTCCACTGCAGATAATGCCACACATGTCATCGGCCATGTCCCTTTTAGACCTGTAAGAGTGTTCCTCTGGGAGGGGCTCCTGGGTGGCTCACTCGTTAAGCGTTTGCCTTTGGCTCAGGTCATGGTCCCAGGGTCCTGGAATCGAGCCCTGCATCGGGCTCCCTGCTCAACAGGTAGCCTGCTTCTCCCTCTCCCACTCACACTGCTTATGTTCCCTCTCTTGCTCTCTCTCTCTCTCTCTGTCAAATAAATAAATGAAATCTTAAAAAAAAAAAAATGTTCCTCTGGGGTAAAGAACCAGGAGCGGATTGCTAAGTGAGTGGCTGCAACCCATTTTTCTCCAGGCCATGAAAGCTACACTCTACCCAACTTCCACAAGCCCTGAGAGAGCCTAGTACCCTCGCCCCCCATCCAGCAGTTGACATTATCCAGCTTCCTATCCTGCCCTTTGCCAGTTTCATACAATGAAGATACAGTGAGGTCCCCCTGCCATCTTAAAGTGCAACTCTGTGATTGCTGATGATTTTAAATGTGTCTTCATGGGCTAGCTTGTTACATTTAGATAGTTCATTCTCTGAAATTGCCATTTAAAACCTCAGCCCATTTTTCTCTATTAGGGAAGTACCCTGTTTTGATTTGCAGGCCTTCCAGATGTTAATCCCTGGTTTCAGATGTTGCAAATACCTTCCCCCATTCTGTCCCATGCCTGCTAACATTGCCTATGGTGTCTTCCATGGAACAGAAAACTTTAATTTTGATGTAGTTAAATGTACCAGCTTTTGGTCTGATGTTTTGTGCTTGTGATTTTTTGTTTGAGAAGTCTTTCCTTGTCCTTAGGTCACAAAAATATTTTACTACATTAACTTTATCGTTTTGCCATTCCATCGAGAACCTTTACTCTGCCTGGAACCCATCTCTGGATGAGGAGTTAGGTAGGGATCCTGTTTTATTTTTTCTTCATATAATGAGCCAGTTTTCCACCACCATCATCAGACTATCTGTCCCTTATTGCTGATGCCAATATCGTTGTGCCGTAAGACCCCCGGTGTGCATAACTCTGCCTCTGAGCCCTTTGTTCTGTTCCACTGGTCTTCTTGCCTATCCCTGCTCAGACCCCATGTCGGATTTACCACTATGGCCTCATAATATCTTTATATCTGCAGGTCAAGTCTTCTTTCTACTCCTTTCATTAAGGTTGACTTAGCTGTTTGAGGCCGATATGCCTCCGTTCGAAAGTTAAAGCGCATTTTGGGGAAATCTAAAAAAAAAAAATCATTTGAAATCTTTATTGGAACTGCATTGTAGTCATAGGTTAATTTGTGAAGAATTGTTGTCTTTTGATATTAAGTTATCCATCCGGGAGCACAGAGCCAGTAAGTCCTCTTATTTCCTGTACATTTGTTATAACGTAATGAAAAATACAAGGAATGAAGAAGGTGGGGCGGAGCGGGAAGAGCCAGGCGGCGAGGCATGGCGGGGGGTCCTCCTTGCAGATGACCACGGTAGTCTGGAGCAAAGCTGTGGCTCAGTCAGTTTCACGCTGGGCCGGGGGTCCAGACACCAGGCAGCGCTCCCGGCCAGGATCTCCCGGAAGCCTTCATCCATTCTGTGCGGCGGTTACTGCTATGTCTGCTTTCTGGGCTCAGTAGGTGAGGAATTGGCCCAATGCAAGTTGCAGAGGAAGAACGTGGTCCAGACGGGCCGACCTCAGAGTTCGTGCCTTTAGGCTGGTGCTGCCCACCTCTTAGATTGCTGCTATGGTCATGTGGTGCTAGTGGAACTCCATCCATCCGCACTGGGCCTTGGGGTGCTTTTTTGCCAGAGCTCCACCTGGCCTTAGCACGTGCTCAGCTTGGCACTCGGAGCCACTTATAGGGTGACCCCAGGTAATGAGGGACCCCAGCCCCTCTGCCCCTGCCTGGTCCTGGGCTAGACAGCCAGTGGAAATGGACACATCCCCACCATTAACCACATCTCCCCATCTTCCCTCTCCATCAGCACCAGGAAACCCAGGCCATTCGGCCGTTGTGGTTTTGTGCCTCTGCATCCAACTGGGAAAGCCGGAGCGCAGCGTTTCCCTGGAGACTCAGGGAGCGGGGCTGAGGCAATAATTCTAGAACCCAGGAAATGCTCTGGGAGGAAGCATGGGCAGCCCAGGGAAGCCCAGCTCTGCAGCAGCCTCGCGTGCAGAGTCGCCTTGGGCAAGTTGCTGGACCTCTCTGGGCCTCCATTTCCTCCTCCCACACAGGGCCGGCCCACTTGGCAGGGCTGTAGAAGGAATCTGGAAGGGAGCTTTAACCCTTCATACCCCTCCCATGTTACAGGTCTCAAAGGTTCATGGTTCACACAAAGGTGCCACCTACTCTTTCTTTAAGCCATGGGGTTCTCTAATACCAGGCTCTTCACTTGTGTCACCTCACTTAATGCTCTCAGGTCGAGGCAAGAACTTGATGATCCCCATTTTATGGACGGAGCCACTGAGACTCAGAGAGGTGAGGAGACATGCCCAGCATCTCACAGCCCCTAAGTAGCAGAGGCAGGACTTGAACCCAGGCCTCTCAGACACAGAAGCAGCTGTGGACCACACAGGTTTGTGTTCAAAAACTCTGAGACTTTGGGGTAAGGGAGCCCAGCCCTCCAGCGTGAGAAATAGATGTCTGTAAAAGTAAGTCCCCAAACCCACCAAGCTTGTCCACAAAACCTGATATAATGTGGCTCCACTTTTGCAATTGTCCACACCCTAGAATTTCTCTTCGACTTGCATAAAGCAGGGGCCTCTGCCTTTCTGTCTTGCATCCGTTTGCTGGGTGGGAGGAGGGAGAAGAGAGGGCATTCACTCGGCACGGGCATCGGGGAGCAGGAGGAGGGCTGGAAGCCCAGGGGCTGTGGGGGACGGTCTCATAATAGTGGCTTCTCCCCTCTAGCAGGTGCTTGACTTCGGCAAAGCACACTGGCAAGGACAGGGGTGAGTAGGGAAGGTGAGATGGCCCCAGTGGTGGGGAACTTAAGGCTAGAGGTGGGGCGTGATCGTGTGGGGTGGGGCCAGCCAGGGGGCTGCTGTCTTTCCTTCCCCTCCACTCTTTTTTCCTTTCTTTGTGTTGGTTTATCTATTCATTCCCCGCCCCCCCCTTATCTCTGCCTCTTCTGTTTCCTACTGAGGAAACCAGCACGATGTTGCGAAACGGAGGCCCAGCCGCAAGAGGTGACACATAGCCAACGGGTCTGGCCTGAGACACTCCCCTGGCTCAGAACCCTGCCCGGCCGATGCTAAACTCACTCCTCCAGCTATTTAGCCAACAGGTGTTTACTCGGGGCCTGAACCGTGCCAGGCTCAGGCTGGGCTGAACTGGTGAGTGAGGCCGACGTGCCTCCTTGATTGGAGCTCAGATCCCGGGGAGCGAGGGTTGGGGGGGGCCGGCGGGAAGCCCGCCC